CTATGCCAAGTAATTGACCAGACTGACTATGGATACCGCCTCAGGAACGGATCAGTCACCTCCTCTACATGGATGACATCAAGCTGTACGCCAAGAGCAAGAGAGACATCGACTCTCTGATCCAAACCACCAGGATCTACAGCCATGACATCGGGATGTCATTCGGGCTCGAGAAATGTAGCAGGATGGTGACTCAGAGAGGCAAGGTAGTCCACACAGAAGGGATCTCCCTCCCAGACGGAACAATAGCAGACGGTATACCACAGGAAAATGGCAACCTCGAACAGGTGACGAGGAAAGCGGCACCTGCCAAATACCTCCAGCGAGTAAGGCAGGTCCTAAGAAGCCGGCGCAATGGCAAAAACAAGGCCCGGGCAATTAACAGCTACGCCCTGCCAGTGATCAGATACCCTGCAGGAATAATCAGGTGGCCAAAAGAAGAGATTCAGACCACGGATGTTAAAACTCGAAAGCTCCTTACCATGCATGGCGGGTTCCATCCCAAATCCAGCACTCTGAGACTGTACGTAAGCTGTAAAGAAGGAGGCCGAGGACTAGTGAGTGTGAGAGCCACTGTCCAGGATGAAACATCCAAACTCCATAACTACATCATGGAGAAGACCAAAACGGATGACGTACTCAGTGAATGTCTCAGGCAGTGGCGAGATGAGGAGGTGCTGGAGGAGAGCCCATCATGGGAGAACAAGCCCCTACACGGCATGTACCACCAGAGCATAACAGAAGTGGCTGATTTCAAGAAGTCCTACCACAATGGCTAGAAAGGGCTGGCCTACAGGACAGCACAGAGGCACTCATCATGGCTGCACAGGAACAGGCCCTGAGCACCAGAGCGATAGAGGCCCAGATATACCACACCAGACAAGACCCAAGGTGTCGGTTGTGCAAAGAGGCACCTGAGACGATCCAACACATAACTGCAGGGTGCAAGATGCTAGCAGGGAGCGCCTACATGGAACCCCATAACCAAGTGTCTGGCATAGTGTACAGAAACATCTGTGCAGAGTATGGGCTGGAAACTCCAAGGTCTAAGTGGGAAACTCCTCCAAAGGTGGTGGAGAATGAGCGTGCGAAGATCCTGTGGGACTTCCAGATACAGACCAACCGAATGGTAATGGCGAACCAACCTGACATCGTGGTGGTAGACAAAGGGCAGAGGACAGCCGTGGTGGTGGACGTGGCAATTCCAAGCGATGGTAACATCCGGAAAAAGAAACATGAAAAGCTTGAGAAATACCAAGGTCTCAGGGAGGAGCTGGAGAGGGCCTGGAGGGTAAAGGTGACAGTAGTGCCCGTGGTGATCAGTGCACTCGGGGCAGTGACCCCAAAGCTAGAAGAGTGGTTACAGCGGATCCCTGGAACAACCTCGGACATCTCGGTCCAGAAATGTGCAGTGCTAGGAACAGCAAAGATACTGCGCAGAACCCTCAAGCTCCCAGGCCTCTGGTAGAGGACCCAAGCTTAGAGAGGGATAACCGCCTGCGGAGGGCCAAAGGTGAGTAGACAATTTTTTATATATATATATATATAATAAAAAATAAAAATATATAAAAAAAAAAAAAATATATATATATATATATATATATATATATATATATATATACATTCCAAAATTAGCATGGCCATCATGGCAATGTGAATGGAGACCATGGAGCTATAATAATAACTGGATAGGGTATTACTAGCTTATTGCTGTCCCACCCATGGACACAGGGGGCGCCCGTGGTACTGCAAACTAAATTCACGTGGGCTACCCAGAAAAAAGTTCCATAGAACTCAATGTAAATTAAAACAGCTCGACCTCAGCTGACAGAGAACCTACAGCTTTCATAAAGATCGGATTTTGTGGGGATTTTAGTGTCCCTTTTTTTCTTCTTTAATCCTTCGGTTTTTTTTTAAATCTACACTTTACTCCCACAAACTCTGCTCCTTTCCTTCCCGCTCTGGCTCCGCTCTGCTGCTGCTCTGATGAGCAGCCACACACACGCATTTGGCGCAACGCATCATGGGAGCTCGTCCACTGCGCAGAACCGGGAGGACCAGACGATGCCCAAATATAGGCGGGTTCTGCTAATCTCCCGGTCCCCGTGAAGTCCCATGCGCTACTGAGCACAAGCCATTCATTTGAATAGGGCGCCATCTTGGATCACCGGGGCTTGATGGAGACAGACCAATAATTGCTGCTGGATTTGGTGTGTATGGCAATCTGAGTCAGGGAGACAAAATATTGACTGTGACTGCAGTACCACTTTTGGCCCTATATGTTTACATCTTGCTCCTTTAACACAAAAACCCATTTGAGACTTTAAATATTTACGATGATGCATGATGTGATGGGTTAGGGTAATTGAGCTAGGGGGTTGGATTGGCCATCTACATTCATTGCAGATGCAAACCTCTCCAAACCAGATGCTGAATTTCACAAGCAGGCAAGCCAAACGAGAGCCTGCTCTCTGATTGGATGTCATGAAACATTACGTATCTAAGTTAAATTAGTAACTAAGGGAACATACTTAGTTACGTGCCAAACAGGAAGATAAAGGAGATCCTTCATTAATTTCTGCGTTGCATCACAAGTTACAGAATAGTAGGAATTTTCACTCATGACCCCTTTAACACAAACGTTTAGATTCCTCGTTGGTTATCTATGTGCTACTTTTCTTTAATAGTAAAAATAGTCCTTCAGCTGTCCTGACCAAACTTTGACGAAACCTACTATTACTCCAAATATGGTGCGCCCACAGTGAGCGACACGCCCTGAGTCCTTGTTATGTCCAGGAAGTCCCCCCCGGACCTACCTCCTCCCTCCCTCCGTCTGTGTGTGTCATCGATCCATTGTTGGGAAAAGAGACTGCGACATCGAAACAGGACTTGACTGAAACTTCTGAGGTATTGCATTTGTATTAAAACTCTTTATGCCTCTTTCTTTAGCAGTCAGCGACTTGTTGCTTGTCGATCGTAAACCAGGGCGCTGTGCATGGGACAGAGGGTTGCGGAAGTTTCGGTGAAACGGATAGAGTGGAAAAACTTTGAGAGGAATTCCGTATGTCCATTCCTCCATTTTGAACTCTTAAACCTAACTTTTACCATTTGTTTTGGTGAAGTTGTATGTTGTCTCGTAGCCTACTGTACTAGTATGTTATGTGTGCATTTTTAACCCTCGTAGATCTCGTTACTAGTTTGAAAATGGCTTATCTCGGCTTTCGAAGCTATGCTGTGTGGGTTAGCATTAGCTTTAGCCACCCACTTTACAGTAAGCTAGCTTAGCCTCCCCCATGGGCTAACTACTTCACGGACGTCAACCAACGCAGCTACCCGACTGCACCTCAGGACATTTAAGTAACTACTCTCTAGGCTTGTTTTACGCGTCCTAAACATGGTCTTTTCTTGCCAAGTTATGAGTTGTGCGTATGAAGTATATTTAAGTGCTATCACGGAGGATGGTACGGTAGTTTACAGGTGTGGACCCGCCCATGGCTTTGCCTACAAACTAAAGGCCGAATCCGTATGTCTTCTCGTGAATTAACAGCTATGTGACAACACAATGCAATGTACAGTGCAACCAATTTACCAAGTTAAATTAGTTGTTCTTAGTGAATTTACTTTGTTAAATGTATGTTGCTGCAAATCATAGTCGCCATTATTACCCAACTCCGCTGAATCGTCTCTAATGTGAATGTTTACCTATTTACTGAAAAATCTGAACTCAAGCACATGTATGAAATACATTCACATTACTACTAGGCCTATGATAACGATGGGTTTTGAGAATGATTGTGATAAAAGATAATGATAATGCCACAACTTTGGGCCACTGATGCATTACAACGGGATTTGCCAAGTGAAGCATGTCTTCAATCTCATGAATTAGGGTTAAGTAAGTATGCAATATGAAAGTAAACCGGAGAAAAACACCTCACTTTCACATGGATAATGGCAATCTGCAAAAACATGTATAAAGAATAAATATGGAAGGCCAAAATATATTTTTATATTATCAGTGATCAATGTGTCGAACTTTCGTAACAGACCTAGCTACTAGTATATTTATATGTAAAGTATATGTAAAGTTGATCCTCTTTTAAAGAGTTGTGCTGGAGCCGAGATTGGGCTTTGACCAATGTTGTATAAACACACTAGGTAATAATAAATATGTATTTTGCTCAAAAGACCAGTACTTAATGTTTGGATGACCATAAAGCACTGGTAATTAGCATATATATATATATATATATATATATATATATATATATATATGCGCTAACTTTGCATACACATAGAAATAGGATTTAGTAATAGAAATTTGTGGAGTTGTCTCTTTTTTTCAGTGGTGATCTAATGTATATAAACATTGACAAGCTTCAGGCTGAAGTTTAAATATATTCACCAGAGGAATGTTTTCCTCTTGGGTGGATTGTGCCTCTGGATACAGTTTACTAGGCAGCTTTAGTCTTAGACTGTTGCACTTGCAGGAACTGAAAAGTGCAATTTATATATTTAGTGAGTATACTTTATAAATTTAGAGAGGGGCGACAGTGGCTCAGTTCACGACTCCCACTGATGTCTGCTGTTGTTGTGTCCTTGGGCAAGACACTTAACCCCACTTTGCCTGAAGCCCCCACTGAAAGATCAAGGCTCCTGTGGACTCACCACCTGCAGGAGGATCAGTGAGAGACTGGTGCTATGTGTTCTGGGTGCAGCTCTGACTGCCACCCCCCCACCGACCCAGAAATGGATTAAGGGGAAGAAGATGGATGGATGGACTTTATAAGTTTGCTGATTGTTATTTCACTGAAATGATTTTTCTGAGGGTAAATAATTTGAACCAACTTTTACCCTCATTGATAATTAAGCCACTATATAAATGCAGGGAAAAAACTGTCATTGTTGCTTCTCAGCATGCTGCTCATTGTTTCATACCATGGAAGAAAGAAATTGGGAGTTACTAAATTCTGTTTTGTTTCAGGGTTGAAATAGCCACAATGTCAACCATCAACACTGCAAACATCAACTTCAAGTGGGATCCAAAGAGCCTGGAAATCCGCACTCTCGCTGTGGAGAGGCTGCTGGAGCCTTTAGTCACTCAGGTGAAAAACATCTGCTATTGTGTGATGTGAAAACTTATCTATTTAATGTGAACTAGATTCTGAATTTATGTAGATGCAATTTTCACATATTTTTGAACTGTTAAGATTTATTAAATATAATTTTGTCCCTTTTTATCCAACTTTATCTTAATATGTATTTTTGTCTGGCTTTAGGTCACCACTTTGGTGAACTCCAGTAACAAAGGCCCATCCAACAAGAAGAAGGGCCGCTCCAAAAAAGCTCATGTTTTGGCTGCTTCAGTGGAAAATGCCACTCAGAACTTTTTGGAAAAAGGAGAAAAGATTGCGAAAGAGAGCCAGTTTCTCAAAGATGAGCTCACTGCTGCTGTGGAAGATGTCCGCAAGCAAGGTATATTGAAAACACACCAACTGCAGCCGTGTGCTTCCCAGACTTTACTGAGTGCTTCTTAAGATGGGAGAAATCATAAATGACGTATAAGCTATGCACATTTCTGAGTCTATGGATGGCCTTAAATAAAAATGCACACTGTGAAAGACAGATTTGGTTTGTATTGGATATTTGGGTACCACAGCCATAGATTAATTTTAGCTCTGTGTAGACATCTCACATTCATTTGATGAATTAGGCTGCTAGGGTCTGGTTTGCTTTTGGGATCCAATTTAAGCATGCCTCAACCCTGAAGTGCATTGATTCTTTTTTGTGAAAGAGTTGGTACTCTAAATAGTTGGCTGGCCACTGTCTTGGATTTTCTGTCTCACTGCTTATTCTACGGGGTAATTTAAAACTATATATTTCGATTACGAGATTTGTTACAAAAAAGAATTAAAGTAGGATTATGTAATATTTGCATGTCAAGTCGTCATTAAATGGCCCCAATATTTCAAAAGGCATTATTAAATCATGCTCTTTTCGAATACATCTTTAACTGATGACAGTAGTTCAGCTGAGATATTTCAAAATCAAAATTAGTTTTACGACCCGTAAAAGATGTCCCACCCTCCGCCGTTTCACCAGTCAGAAAGTCCGAGTTCCGGGTTGGCAGACCTCCCCGCGGCTAGTTAATCTCAGTGGTAAAATAACATGTGGCCGCAGAACTATGATTTGAGTCTTATTATGACTCAAATCATTAATGACAAAACAAAAAAATAAAAAACAACTAAAAAAACTAATAAAAACTTTGTGATGCTGTCACCCCAGCGACCCGGGTTCGAGTCTGGGAGGAATCGGTTTGTATTTATTTATATAATATCACATTCTATGTGAATGCTCAAACGGTTAAAGACATAAATCAAGAAGTTTTTTGCAGATTATAGCTTAATTGTAAAAATCATTTGAGACCACATGTACCCCAGTTAAAATGTTAAGCCTAGTGTATACTTGCGCGGCGTGGCTTACGTTAGCGGTTGTGGTGGACCTACGTAAGCACAATTGATGTTATACTGGCGCGTTCCCCTTACGGAGTTTTGAGGAGAATGTTGTAATCCCACAACAAACCACATGTTTGGGGCGGCACGGTGGCTGAGTGGATAGCACTCTTGCCTCTCAGCAAGAAGGTCCTGGGTTCGAATCCTGGCCAGACCAGGGCCTTTCTGAGTGGAGTTGGCATGTTCTCCCCGTGTCTGCGTAGGTTTCCTCCGGGTACTCCGGTTTCCCCTACCACTAAAAATATGTACAATAGGTCTGGCATGCGCCTCCTGTACTGGCGACCCCGCTCCCATCTCTGTCTGGAGTGAGAGGACAAGTGCCCAAAAATAACAATTGTAAACCGCTTTGTGACTCTGGTCTGTGAAAAGGCGGTATATAAATAAAGCTTACTTACTTACTTACTTACTTACATGAGGGCGATCACACAGGAGCGGTCCCATTTACGCTGCTACTTTGTCCTCTTCAGAACAATAGCAAACAAAGCTGTTTGAGCTCATTACACGTGTTTCTACTGTAGGTTTATGTGATAGTTTTATGGATTCATTATTTTATAAGTCATTTCAACTGTGAGGCTGTGAATAAAGACACAGTTCTTGTTGGAAACATAGTTATTATTAATTAGTTTTCAGCACAAACAGCAAAACAATAATAGTGGTAAATATCTGAGACAAACATGAACGATTTACGAGTGCAGGAGGAAAGCAACAAACGCAGCTACGATTCAAACAAAGACAGGAACAGTGCAAAACAAACGACTGAACAGTTTATAAGTTATATATATGTTAGATAGTCCACAGTCTCCTGTATATCAGGCTCTGAACCCAAACTGCTTTTCCTTCGAATCACAAAACTCTCTGCTCCATAGTGCCTCGTCCATTGTCCCTGCTGCAGCCGCTTCATGCTTCCTTCCAATACACACACATGGACCAATCACAGCGGAGATTCCTTGCGGCGACCCTTACGTAGTTAGAAAATTTCGATGCTGCGCGGCAGGCAACGTAAGGGCCTTGCGGTGTCCAACGCGTTGCGCAAGTGACGTCACGTAAGCGCCGCGCGAGTATAAACTAGGCTTGTGTCTATTAGATGTGGGACCTACACATGTCTAAAAAAATAGGAATAAATAAAATCAAAGGGTGATATCCTCTGGAGGAAAGCCTGACATTGATACGCTGAAGAAATATGGTCCAACATTCATACTTCCCACTCCTATTTTGGACATCAATTGCTTATTTATTTTGCATTATCTATGTATAAATCACATATCTTTTATTTAGGTTTTTTTTGCATCTCAAATGTTCAAATAAAAAAAATACAAAAACATTCATTCAAAACATTCATTCCACATGAAAATAAAATAATTCCTTGTGTTTGCTGCTGGATTTGGTGTGTATCTGGCAACTTGAGTCATGGAGAGTGGGAGAGGACTACAAAATATTGACTGACTGCAGTACCACTTTTGGCCAGATTTTTACATAATGCTCTTTAAGTGGACATAGACATTTTATGAAATGACTGCTTGCTGTCTTCGTCTTGGTAATGTTTGTGAAAACTAATTATGTGGATAATAACTAGGGATGTACCGATCCGATATTCAGTATCGGTATCGGGGGCCGATATGGGTATTTTGTAAGGATCGGATAATATCGATATGAAGCCGATTTACGTCACTTTTCAGCATGCTCACGCTTTACGGCTGCCGTAAACTAAATACAATGTAAAACTAGGGCTGGGTGATAAAACGACAACGAGATATATTGCGATAGACGCGCGTTCAATATCAATAGAAAACGGGGTCGATAGAATGTTAGTTTATCATCACTCCGTTAGAAAAAACAGGACGAAAACACAAGAAGTAAAGCAGAGTCAGAGGCGCGCGGCATTCTGGGGGATGTAGGCATAGGCTTCTCGACCTATCACAGCCAAGCGTGAACAGCAAAACTTTCTGGGAAATGCAAAAACAACAACCGCACAATGTGTAGCGTACATGGATCTAAAGATTGTTTTTCAATGCCGTGTCAATGGTTCTGCACTTCCGTGCGAGGCACAGCATTTGCGGTGTGGCAGAGGCAGTGGACACAGACCTGGTGAATGCGGCGAAAGCCTGGTCCGTGCGGCTATCAGAGAGCACGGAGCAGTCATGGGGACACAAAACAGGAGATAAACCAGGACTAAACCAATATTTCACCAGGACTAACTATGGGGGAGACTGCGTGTGAACATATTCCTCGTGCCTCATTCCCCGTGACTGTTAACAAGGCTGCTAACGTGTGTTAGCCGACACGACAAACGTATTTATTCAGGTAAAAATGCAAAATCTTTAATGCTTTGAAAATATTAGAAATTGTTTTATCGGATCGGTATTGGCAATACAATATTTAAGAATTTCGGAATTGGATCGGATTACAAAAAATCTGGATCGGTACATCCCTAATAATAACACACCAATAATCTTAGTGTGCGCTTATAGTTATGTGTGTGAGTTAAGGGCCTGTCTGAAGTGTGCCCAAGATGGGAGGAAAGTTAAAATTTTATGACAAAAAGGTTCCTGCTTCAGCCCCTCACGGTGTTACTGCCATTATCTGTCAATTTAAGGCTCATGTTGTTACTTAAAAGTTGAAAATGCGAGTAATTCATATTTTAAGTCCAAACTACTTTGTTGCTCAATAGTGACAAATATCTGCAAATCCGGAAATTGAATTACCAAAGTAAATGGACCTTTGATATTCAGATTTTCTGTAATATAAAATAAAGCAACAAAAACAACAAAACAATGAACTGTGCAGTACTGAAACAATTCAAAGCACAATGTGTCAAATTTATTCATAATACATTTATGCCAAACATCCTGTCTGCTGTGTCTGGATAGTAAGTAATCTGTCCGCACTTCAGCATGTTGATGAGGTTTGTTTCTGCATAAAGATGCAGCCAAACCACTCCATGTAAAATCATTGAAGAAAAAAAAAGATACACTTGAGTTCATTATCAACTTCCAATGTTTCCACTTTCTCCGTCGTCTTGCTTGCACTGCAGCTCTATGAGAATGTTGCCTAAATAACATTAATCTGCATCCTTCAAAAATCTAATTTGGTACAGAGCTAGTAACCATAAGTCGAATTGTTGACCTGTTGTGTATGATTGCTGCAGACCAGTGAAATTAAATGCAATGTAACCACTTGTGCTTAGCATTTTGTCATTGGAATTTTCATTTGGATCATGGTTATAGGCTAGTATATATGTTATTGTGCCATATTTTACAAATTGCAACCTTCACATGTTTTTAGATTAGTTTGCATCATTAAGGTAAAAAAAACCTGAAAACATACCCAGACTTTTCATTCCACTTGTTTTTGGGTGTGTCGCTGAGAATTCCTCTTGCTGCTTGAAAAAGGTCAGACATGTTATGTTTTCAAATGGTGCTGCTTTGTACCGGTTTTTGGTTATTGATGTGTTCAGTGAAGCTTGTTTGTTGCTTTAAATGGCATGTTTCTTTGGAAGCACAATTTCTTGGGGGGGGGGAGATTATATACCAAATGTTGATACTTGTAAATAAAAACGCCAAAAGAAATCTGTAGATTCATTCATGTATAAAACATTTTCACTTTCTTAAATGAGTGGACCTCCAGATACCTGTATTCAGTTTGAAAATGTCAGGGCTGTTGTATTCTGAAATTACTCAGTCAGCATTCATGAGCTGGAATCATTTGTGTCCAACTGCTGACTCGGCATTCATGTCAGGGGTGCAATCAAACCACCAATCTGAATATCTGAACATGGGCTAAAATAATACGCCACCGTGATTCGAAGTAGATGAAAATTGGGGTCTAAAATGACTCCAAATGACAAGTATGACACTGCAGACCTTACAGTATCTGAACATGTGTACCCCGCTACGAAAAGTTGCTTGAAACCTGTTTGTCAATCACTCCAAATTCAGACGGTGTAATCACTATTAAAAATCATATTTTCCCTCCGGTGCTAAAATGGTTTTTCAATTGTTTGTGAAATGCAATCATTTTGTCTGTTTGCTCCAAAGGGAAATGGCAATCCCAAGTAGGAGGCCTAAAAGACTCATTCTGTGACATTGTCTTCGTAGAAAATTAGTAACAAATTGTGCTTTTATCCCACAGTGATAACTAAATTATTTGTTTCCAGGCACTGTGTGATTGAAATGAAAGCTGTTCAGATGTCACTGACTGTTCAAATATGTTTAAACAACCCTGTGGGAATCAGACCATACATAGTCAATTTCCAATTCAATTTCATGCCTCCCACAAGAGGCATGAAATTCCAGACAAATCCACAGCCAAATCGGTCTCTAGCGGAATTACCATTTGTCTTACAATGGCAGGTTTCATCATGTAACAAGTTCCATTTACTCCTTTGTGTCGCTGATATCTATGGTTGGGGTTGACACACTGCAAGACCACAGAGACGGCAGGACCGTGGCTGCAGCATGGCTGTTATCACCGGTGTCTCTGTGCTGCTCCCCCTGGTCATGCTTCGTTCAATGTGTGCGTAGTAGAGGAAGATGACATGTCAGTATATGCCCCTACAGCGCTCCTGGCCCAGGGATCCACTGTAGTTGTGCTAAAGCTGCTGGCCTGGAATTCACTGAGTGTTGTTAGCTGGTGCCTAGGCTTGGCTGTCAGCAATGCCAAGCTGCTCAGTGGTGCGTGCCTGGACTTATAATACAGCCATTGAAAAGGCTCCCACCACAGCCCCCTGGACAGAGAGCACACTTCTACCCAGCTGTGGCTCATCAGCTGTTTTTAACCAATCCAATTCAGTAGCCACGCCACTCACTGTTAAGATTGTAATACAAAATAATAATAATCTTTGATCTATTTATTTGATACCTGCTATTCACTCTTTTCCTTATCACAAGTGTGTGTATTCTTTGGACCACTTCAGCCCTCTTGTCCTTGCTCTCGCTGCTGCCCTTCCTCCTGTCTGCGTCTGTTGTCCTGCAGCTCGCCCGCATCATTGTGTGATATACATTCTAATCATTTCAGCGTTCGGTTGGTGGGCCGCATGTAAGCCTTAGATGGATGAGGGTTTATTAAAGGCGCGCTGATCACTATCTGCTCCCTGAAAATGGCCGTATCGATTGTATTCTTGGGGGGGTTCAAATTGTGTTTTTAGTTGTGTGTGTTGTCAATCATTTGCGCAAACTGCTTCAGTTTGCTGTTGCCGACGGAATTGGCTTCAGTTATTTGTTTAAAGAGATTGATTCATGTTAGGCACAGGGCAAAAAAGTACAATTGTTTCCACTATTGGACCATAATTTGATAGGTATTATTGTTATCTCTATCATAAATGTTGTATCTCAATTACTACAGTGGTGTTTTTCTGTGGACTTTCCACAGTTTTCACTAAGAAGTACATTTTTATATAGTTTGTTTCCCAGTCTTAAAGGAGCTATACCCGTTTCTGCAAGGTTTGAATGTTTAGCACCGTCCCCCAACTCGCTCAAAGGCTTCTCATTTCCATCTAGTTGTATTTGCGATCTGATGCTAAGATTAGCATTAGCGCAACTTAAGCTGTACAACAATCACTTATAAAATGGTACAAAAGCAACACACTGCTAACAAAATATATATGGTCCAAGCATGGATAGTCCGAGACAGTCCCGCAGGTCTCTTCCATAGACGAGTCTCTCCAGAGGATACAATGTAAGCTATGTTCACCCGGGCTTGGTTTCTTTGATCATTTTCTCGCTTTAGTTCCCTCTTTTCTTCCTCACTGTTGTGTCGTTTGGGCTGTTTTGCTGTGTATACAGTTAAAGCAAGAAGAGTTATAGCCAATTCTGCTAACATGCTACTGTTTTTAGCAGCGCTGTAGAGGCTAGAGGACCTCCTCGTTCTGTGAGGGGAGAGCGAGCGCCACGCTCAATTCTCTACTCAGCACTTTTTACGGCCTGAATTCATACACAAGCTGACACAATGAGCTCAAGTTTTCAATTAAATTACGGATTGTAATACAACTCATATGTAGTAATAAGCATTTTTATAAACTCATTAAAAAAAATATACAGTGCTTTTGTGTTCGGTGTAAAAATATTCACTACTTTTATTGCACGCTATTGTATTGTAAGTATTTCTGTATTTACTTTACCAATAAGCAGACAACCCTTTTACTTAGTGGTCCATGAAACAAAGATTTTGAAAATTTCATTCATGATGTCATTAATTCATGTTTAATCCTCTTAATATGATGCCCCTTTTTAAAAGCATAGCTGCATAATCTGCATTTGGTAGGCAAATGCATAGTGTTATTTCTTGAGGCGACCCCTGAGTACAGCCCAGGGCTGTTCGGTGACTTTTAATTCCTTATTACAAAAAGATGCCCCCTCAGCTTTTCTCACGTTGTCAGATTAGTCCCATTGAGGATATTTTCTGCAGGCTACCTTTACTGTCCCATCTCTGACATTAGCCTCATCCCATTAAATACATGACACCATTCCATCAAAAGGCAAGACTCTTGCAATATCTTTTTAATATCAGCTCTTCTACTAATTTTGTTATACACTTCTGCATTAAGTGTATGGCCTTCTTTTTAAACTAATAGTGTAACTTGGCAGAACACCACATAACAAATCTATTTGAAGGGGAAATGAATCGAAGTTGATTTATTTCAGACTTAGTTTGAGTGCACAGAGGGCAAAGCAGGTTTAATAAACATTTGCTTTTTTCAGTACACAAACACCACAAGGAGGAGTTATCTGTATGCTGGCAGGGAGTCAGCGTTGCAGACAAAGATATTTAATGCATTTTTAAATTTGAGGTTAAATTTGGCCACGTTTCCCCCGATGTCAGCCATTTACAGATTTACTGTGGTGGTGATATTCCACTGCAGTATTTGATGGTCCTTTCTGGACAAACCTGAAGGGTGTAATTCATTGATTATCAATTTGATTGATTGATTCTTAGGCATGTGTTGATGGTAGGTGGACTCGAATTGCTGGACAAATTGCCCTGCGATGTGGTGTGGGTGTTACATAAAAACTTGTGATGTCATTTAAAGCGTTTCTAACTGCATACGTTTTTTAATTGCGTTAATAATGCAAGCACAAAACGCAGCAGCTGCTGATGTCCCTGTAAAGCCTATGGAGCAGTGTAGAGGACAGAACCGGCTAAAGACTGCTATACAGCAGCACCAGTCTGATGTAAGCGTTTGTCCTCACAAATACACACGGCTCATTTTGGACTAACGAGCGCCTGGCCGGTGCACGTAAGATGATTTTCATCCTATACGCATGCGCCACGACTGAAGCCGGTCAGAGCACATCTACAAACGCAACCCCTGCTCAACACATGCTGACTGCGCGTCCTCAGGAGAAAGAACACAAAGCGCCCATGAGCACAGGAGCGGTTAAAGTCGAGGGTAGAAATATAAGGTGTGAGCGTTTCTGATAATTAATGAGCACAAAGCAGTTAAATGAAGTGTAGAATATGAGCCACACTACACAAGATGCAGATGTTTGTGTACTTTGTACCATCTACACTTCTAAACTGATTTTTCACATTTCATTGGCAGGAAAGAAATACTAGGGTCATGACTTGATTATGGATCACATCTGCATCATTAACCAAATGTGGTATTCTGATTGGTATTACCCACATAAATCCAAGGTTGATGATAGCTCAATGTTTGCTGTAAAAGTACATTTTGGTTTGTGTGGGCACCTGATTTATACACTATTAATTATTTGAATTGTTTGGTAGCACTAATAATAACGTTGTGATTTGTCAGAAGTGAAGCTGAAACAATGAAGTTTTAATTGACATAAAAAAATGGGGCTGGGTATCTTTCAATTCCATTTTATTACAATAATTGTATTAGATTATAAATATTAAATGTTTTTAAAGTAATTTATTGAGTGTAGTAACCATTTGAATGGCTGTGGTTGACAAAATGATTCTACTCTAGCAGTGTAATGAAGTCATTACACTTTCACCTGCGGGGTTCATATAAATTGTTTTTAATGTTGATTTGGAATGCCTTGTTTTTCAGGAGATTCTATGAGGGTTGCGTCAGGTGAATTTGCGGAAGACCCTTGCTCTTCTGTCAAGAGGGGGAACATGGTTCGAGCTGCAAGAGCTCTTTTGTCTGCTGTCACACACTTGCTGGTGCTGGCTGACATGGCTGACGTCTACAGGCTTCTTTTACAACTCAAATTGGTAAAAAAAACCATTAGAATTGTTTTCACTTGCAAGCTGCAATTTGAGGTTTGAAATGTCACGCATCTGTCCACAGGTGGAGGAAAGCCTGGTAAAAGTGCGCAATGCAGGAACTGAGCAGGACCTTGGGATACAGTATAAGGCTTTGAAGCCGGAGGTGGACAAGCTGAACGCAATGGCAGCCAAAAGACAGCAGGTAATGACTGGGACAAACTACAAGGTCAACCGCACGAGTACATGGTGAAGGAAAATCTGATGCATCTACATAATACAAGTTTTTGCCCTAAAAAAACATTATTCACACATTTGTCACCACAGGAATAAAGCATGACGTTTCGTCCAAAGATGAAAGGCAACTGCCAAAACGTCATGCTTTTATCCTTTGGTGAGCAATGATATCGTTGACACTTTGTACTTTGTAGACATTTTGTACATTTCTAGTTCTGCACACTCCTTTTTGGATGTACCTGTAGCATTTTGGTCAGAAAAGGCCAATGTACTATATCAACCTTGGTTTTGGAAAAAAACAATTAAAAGTAGGGATGCACCGATACCACATTCTTCAAAACCTATTTGAGTAAGAGTACCTTAATATGTGTACTTGCAGATGCCGAATACTGATAAGAGCACTGCATTGTTTTTCCTTGTAATTCATAAAACTAATACAGCTGAAATTTGAAAATGTTTTTTTTTTTAGCAATTGTTTAAACAGTCAACAAAAAGAGCCAGTGTCACTCATACAATTGCTATGTTGGTTGCTTTTGTGCTCTGGCGCTAGCAAAGGTGGTGGTGAGTTTTCAGATGTTTGATCAAGTTATTTGGCGTTTGGTGTTATAAGTCTTATAAGGTCACGTTGTGTAAAACTGTCATGAGGTGGGTCCAAAGCAAACATGTATAACACCGGCAACTTGATCAAATATCTGAAAAATCACCACCACCAGGAGTTTAGCACCGGTATTGCTCGCACCGGTGCTATTTCTTTGTACCATTTGAATGTGTGGAATATGATGGTGGCTCTTATTGTTGACTGTTGAAACTATTGCTAAAATGTTTATTTGCTAAAGCCTTCTTATTATTGAAATGTGAAATAAAACATTTCAAAATTCAGTTGTATTTGTGTTATCGCTGTGAATTCATAAAACTACGTCGTACTCATATTGATATTTGGTTTGCAGAACTGTCCATTTATAGTTACATGATCTTAGACTATGTTTTGTGGTAATGACTAAAAACTGTTTTGCTATGTTGGTTTTCATGAAAATGGTTCACTATCAATCCACTGTCGTCAGTTTGAAATGTGTTCTATTTTTCTTTTGTTCTTTTTCTGTAAATGTTCTGCTCTTCCCATTTCCTGTATAATGTAAGTGCAATCACATCTGAATCCCCACAAATTAAATAGCTAAGGCACATTCTAATGGGCTGATTATGAATGTGCTGTGTTACCGCAGGGGACAAGAATAAATCTGGGTCATCTAAAACAAACGCTGTCACACTTGCAGTCTCCACAAGGCCGTGACAGACTCATTTTGAATCTAAGTACATTAGCAGCCGCCCCCTGTTTGTGCGCTGTCGGACTCACCCCTTGTTCACCCTGTTGCTCTTCTCCTTCTCTGATCTTTCCCATTAGGAGCTGAAGGACGTGCAGCATAAAGACCAAATGGCCGCAGCTCGTGGGGTTCTGCAGAGGAACATCCCCATGCTGTACACAGCATCCCGGGCGTGTCTCCAGCACCCTGATGTGGCTGCCTATAAAGCCAATCGCGACCTCATCTACAAGCAGCTTCAGCATGCAGTGTCGGGCATCTCCAACGCGGCCCAGGCCACCGCCTCTGAAGACTCAGCTCTCAACCAGCCAGCGGTGGGTGGGGAGCTGGCCATCGCAATCAACAACTTTGATGTAAGTATAGTGACGATTCAACAGCACTGGATTACATCTATGCAGAGACCGTTATCCCTTTTACGTTTTAATTGAAATAAATGGTAAATGAAATTGGAGCTTTTGAGTTCAATATTTAAAAAAAAAACATTTTTGTATGGGGCGACAGTGGCTCAGTTGGTAGAGCATCGGCCTTTGGGCCTGAAGGTCATTGGTTCGAGTCCACCACAAGACCTACTTCACAACTCCCACTTATTATGACAGCTGTCATTGTGTCCTTGGGCAAGACACTTGCTTGAAGCTCCCGCTGAAAGATCAAGGCTCCTGTAGACTCACCACAGGAGGATTAGTGAGGGGCTGGTGCACTGGATGCTAACCTGGCAAAAGCCAGATTGATGATTGTGTAGAACTCTAACGCGTTCTCCGCGATATCAATCTGGGATTTCTCCCGGAGAATCCTTTCGGGGAAAGGAGGGGTAAGCAGCAGAATACTTGAAGCTGATTGGGCGAAGTGACGCTGTGTGCCCGCCTACCAAGGTTGCCGTCCAGAAATGTACAAAGCGCCTCTCGCTGTTCATCTTTCAAAAAGAAATTGGAGATTCTGCTAAAACTGACTTTGCGTCCGTCCTCCTGCGTAGCCATGTTTGTTTTGCTTCGGCCCGGCACTTCTTGCTTTCGTCAAACCCGGATATCCCGCCCTAAACCCCCAGACTGGCGCGTGATTGGCTCGCACACCCAGTGGTTCGACTCAAAGTGTAAGCGGGAGCGGTACAAGATGTATTCTCGAGTGTTTGTGAACTCACAAATACCGCGAGAATTCAGCTTGCAGGCAAGGTTAACTGGATGCAGCTCTGACTGCCACCCCCCCCGACCCAGAAATGGATTAAGGTGAAGAAGATGGGTGAATGTTTTTTTTTTATATACCGATTGACTGAACATTTTTTATTTTCACACAAAGATGCATCAAATGGCATTATTAATTCACTCCATAAGACAGTGCAAATAAGTTACTACTCTGGCCACAGCAACTCAGGGACAGACTGACTGAAGCATTGCAACTAGTATGTGACATGGGCCTCTCTGACCACTACTACTTATCCATGCACAGACCAGACTCATACAATAGAAACAAACCAGGCCCTTGAGGAACGCATACTAAATCATAAAATATAAAAATATAAATTAAAGTTTATTTTATCATAGTTATTCTTTTATCTTGTTCTGTAACTGGTTAAGCAACACAAAATTTTACCACTGTGGGACAAATAAAGGATTCTACATTTACAATATTGCGACAAGCAACATTGCTGAATAATGGTGCTTTCAGACCGGATCATGCGTTGCGTCGGGTTTCAATGCAAAGTCTATGGTGACACGCGTTCGACCGTCGCAACGCACGGACATCTCGGCACGCACGAACTGACTGTTCAGTAGACACGCACGGACTTGGTGGGAAAGTCAAAGGGGAGGAGCAGGAGCGAAAAATCAACGCTCTCAGCAGATGGATTCTGCTCATCCTTTCCTTGGGGCGTTCGTGCGACAACCAATCAGAGCCGCAAAGTGGTCACGGGGACACTAGCGGACAGAGCGAGCAGACTGAAAATACTCGTAAACAGCCAAAACAGGACCTACACCAGGCTTCACCAGAACTCAAACCAGGGTTGACAATGGGGGACTCTGTGCTTGTGAAAATATGCGTGTCATGCTCCCGTGACCTTATGCAACTGCTTCGAGTGTGTTCGCCGATGCGGAAATACCGTTGAACAATATGAAAACACGTATGGCGCACCTCCGTGAACACATACTACTGTTATATAAAGCCCGTGGAAAGTCTCTGTTTAAAGACACGCTGCAAAGCTGCATATTGGAGAAGATCTGTACACAAGAAGCCGCTAGCATAGATCTGTTAGCATTAGAGCCGGCCGGCTACTCCCGGTAGGACGTCAGGACGTTCTGGTGTGAAGTCCTCTGCGTCTGAAAACTAGAGAATGCGCGTCTGGTGAGCGGGGCCCACCATAAAAGGGGCTGTATCCATAAATGTGGTCCTGAATCTTGTTAACACTTTTGACCAGGAATTTGCAGACATCTGTGCCTGTAATACGAGCAGCATTTGTGGGTGTGGTTATAGTGAAAGAGTAAAATTGGTTTATAAAACACCTGTGGTGCAGTGACACAGAGACGAAGCAGGGGCAGTAGTGCTGAACAAGAGCAGAGCAAAATATATATATTTTTTCATTTATTTTAGTTTGTTTACTGTTCACAAAGTACTCCATCCATCCATCCATTTTCTTCCGCTTTATCCGTTGCCGGGTCGCGGGGGCAGCAGTCTAAGCAGAGACGCCCAGACTTCCCTATCCACACACACTTCCTCCAGCTCGTCCGGGGGGACCCCAAGGCGTTCCCAGGCCAGCTGAGAGACATAGTCCCTCCAGCGTGTCCTAGGTCTTCCGCGGGGCCTCCTCCCGGTGGGACGTGCCCGGAACACCTCCCCAGGGAGGCGTCCAGGAGGCATCCGGAACAGATGCCCGAGCCACCTCAACTGGTTCCTCTCGACGTGGAGAAGCAGCGGCTCTACTCCGAGCTCCTCCCGTGTGACTGAGCTCCTCACCCTATCTCTAAGGGAGCGCCCAGCCACTCTGCGGAGGAAGCTCATTTCGACCGCTTGTATCCGCGATCTCGTTCTTTCGGTCATTACCCAAAGCTCATGACCATAGGTGAGGGAGGGAACGAAGATTGACCGGTAAATCGAGAGCTTTGCCTTTCGGCTCAGCTCCCTCTTTACCACAACGGTCCGATACAGCGACCGCATCACTGCGCACGCTGCACCGATCCGCCTGTCAATCTCACGCTCCATTCTTCCCTGACTCGTGAACAAGACCCCGAGATACTTGAACTCCTCCACTTGAAGAAGGACCTCTCCACCCACCTGCAGAGGGCAAGGCACCTTTTTCCGGTCGAGCACCATGGCCTCGGATTTGGAGGTGCTGATTCTCATCCCAGCCGCTTCACACTCGGCTGCAAACCGTCCCAGTGCATGCTGCAGGTCCTGGTTCGTTGGAGCCAACAGGACAACATCGTCCGCAAAACAGCAGAGATGAAATCCTGTGGTCTCCGAACCGGACCCCCTCCGACCCCTGGCTGCGCCTAGATATTCTGTCCATAAATACAGTGAACAGAACCGGTGACAAAGGGCAGCCCTGTCGGAGGCCAACATTCACCGGGAACAGGTCTGACTTACTGCCGGCAATGCGAACACAGCTCTGGCTCCGGTCATACAGGGATCGGATGGCCCTCAGCAGAGGACCTCCGACCCCGTACTCCCGGAGAACCCCCCCAAAGGACACCCCGGGGAACACAGTCGAACGCCTTCTCCAAATCCACAAAGCACATGTGGACAGGTTGGGCGAACTCCCATGAACCCTCGAGTATCCGATGGAGAGTATAGAGCTGGTCCAGTGTTCCGCGACCGGGACGAAAACCACACTGCCCCTCCTGGATCCGAGATTCGACCATCGGCCGTAGCCTCCTCTCCAGTACCTTGGAATAGACCTTACCGGGCAGGCTGAGGAGTGTGATCCCACGATAATTGGAACACACCCTTCGGTCCCCCTTCTTGTAGAGAGGGACCACCACCCCGGTCTGCCAATCCATTGGCACTGCCCCCGATCGCCACGCGATGCTGCAGAGACGCGTCAGCCAAGACAGTCCTACAACATCCAGAGACTTTAGATAATCAGGGCGGATCTCATCCACACCCGGAGCCTTGCCACCATGGAGGCTACCAACCACCCTGGTGACCTCAGCCAGGGAGATGGATGTATCCGCCCCAACATCCTCAGCCTCTGCCTCTGAAACAGAGGACGTGACGGGGGGATTGAGGAGAACCTCAAAGTATTCCTTCCACCGCCCGACAATATCCCCAGTCGAGGTCAGCAGCTCTCCACCCGCACCGTACATGGTGTTGGCAAAGAACTGCTTCCCCCTCCTGAGGCGCCGGATGGTTTGCCAGAATCTCTTCGAGGCCGACCGATAGTCATGCTCCATGGACTCTCCGAACTCCTCCCAGTCCCGGGTTTTTGCCTCTGCAACAGCCCGGGCCGCGGCACGCTTGGCCTGCCGGTACTGGACAGCTCAGGAGTCCCCCGAACCATCATGGCTCGATAGGACTCCTTCTTCAGCCTGACAGCATCCCTTACTGCCGGTGTCCACCACCGGGTTCGGGGGTTGCCGCCGGGACCAGCACCAGAGACCTTGCGACCACAGCTACGAGCCGCCGCATCGGCGATTGAGGCAGAGAACATGGTCCACTCGGACTCCATGTCCCCCTCCTCCGCCGGGACCTGGGAGAAACTCTCCCGGAGGTGTGAGTTGAAAGTCCGTCTGACAGGGGGCTCAGCGAGACGTTCCCAGCAGACACTCACTATACGCTTGGGTCTGCCAGGTCTGACCGGCTTCTTCCCCTGCCAGCGGATCCAACTCACGACCAGGTGATGATCGGTTGACAGCTCCGCCCCTCTCTTTACCCGAGTGTCCGAGACACGCGGTCGAAGGTCAGATGATACGACAACAAAGTCGATCATCGACCTCCGGCCTAGGGTGTCCTGGTGCCACGTGCACTGGTGGACACCCTTGTGCTCGAACATGGTGTTCGTGATGGACAAACTGTGACTGGCACAGAAGTCCAACAACTGAACACCGCTCGGGTTCAGATCAGGGTGCCGCTCTTCCCGATCACCCCTCTCCAAGTGTCACAACAATGAGAGACTTGTCCCCCACCTCTCATTCACCGGGGAGAACTCCAACACGTGGCGGCTGAGATGGGGGGCAATGAGAATGGCCACCCCAGCTCGCCGCCTCTCCCCGCGGGAAACTCCAGAAAAGTGGAGCGTCCAACCCCTCTCAAGGAGTTGGGTTCCAGAGCCCAAGCTGTGTGTGGAGGTGAGGCCGACTATCTCTAGTCTGTATCGCTCAACCTCCCCCACAAGCTCGGGCTCCTTCCCACCCAGTGAGGTGACGTTCCACGTCCCAAGAGCCAGCTGTTGTGTGTGCGGACTGGGTCGCCGAGGTCTCCGCCTTCGACCGCTGCCCAGTCCTCTCTGCACCGCTTCGCCACCACGGACCCCTCTGCGGGTGGTGGGCCCACAGGAGGGACTGCCCACGTCGTCCATTCGGGCTGAGCCCGGCCGGGCCCCGTAGGCTAAGGCCCGGCCACCAGGCGCTCTCATACGAGCCCCGACCCCAGGCCTGGCTCCAGGGTGGGGCCCCGGCTGCGCCATGCCGGGCGACGTCACTGGTCTCATATAAGTGCTGTCCATGGTGTCTTCTGGACTGCTCTTTGTCTGACTCGTCACCTGAGACCTGTCTGCCATGGGAGGCCCTACCAGGGGCATGAAGCCCCAGACAGCATAGCTCCCAGGATCATCCGAGTACTCAAACTCCCCCACCACGTTAAGGTGGCAGTCCAGGGGGGAAAGTACTTCTTCAGGTAAAAACTGACTCTGATTCAGAGAAGGAAGACACACAGGTGTCCAGTGAAGCAGACATTGACATAATTAGTGACCGGAGTCTGCACGCCATAATCTACAATCAGCAATGCTTCACCACTGCGTGGCCTCGGTGGAAGCATTCTGCGCCAAGCAGGGGACTGGTGGAGGGGGCAAGGGGGGTTCATAACACTGTACTTGTGGATGAAAGTAGCCGATTGCGTTCTCTGCCGCACCGGCTGCTATGATGATGATGATGATGATGAAGAAGGTTCTTGAGAGAAGGGGAAGAGTATCAGAACATTTTAAAAGCCTGTTGCTAATTATGGACCAGTCTGACTCGTTCTAAGCCCATTAATTTCCTGTTTCTAAACGATGAGCCTCATTTCCACTGAAACAAACAGATGCGCACTATTTCTTTTGAAAGAGCTTTTTTAAGCCAAACTCAAGATTTCATGACTGGTAAACTATAAGGAGTGTCTTGATCAAGGTCTTGGAAAATACAATTCCATATATTCAATGCTAAAACATCATATAATTTACATCAGTGAATTCATTTTATCCCAAATTTCCTTTTATACTAAAGATATTTCACATTAACTGTTGACAATATTTTCTTATCTCACACTACTTGCAAACTGCAGCTTTTTGAAATGTTTATATGAAAATTGTCGCTTTCCATTATGACCGCCACCTTGATGACGTTATAAAAAGCAAATTGGATGACAAATCAACTTTCATCTCAAATTTTGGTTTATACTGAAGAAGCCTTTTGCCTCAACTTTAAAGTTATAGCCTTTTGAAATCTCATCAAAAATGTATATTTTCTTGAGATAAACTCTGGTGGCTAAACAATTAATTTCAATCTTGAATTGAAAGTCCCCTGTGTCAAGACACATGTCATATTTTGTTATGCATATTGAGATGTTTATCAGCTGGCTCTGAATAATACCAAGTGAAGTATAGAATCATTCAAATCCGTCTAATGTTGACACACAACACTATCACAATAACAGCTGGATAAATGTGCATCTAATCACCTCTCCTGATTCAATCATAAGGTGCACGCACAGTATAGAGAGCTCTTCAAATAGTTTGAAAATGTCATTTCAAAAGTAGTCCTCTGTTTTCAGCCTCATCCAGAGGCCTTTTCCAGATCTGACTAATTACATTAAAGGTAATGATGCTCCCAAATGTTGCTCCCAAAATACAATTTATTGGGAGCGCACTTTTGGCCTTTAAAAGCTATACTATTCCCTTTGATACCCTAACCCAGGGCTGTCAAAGCAGTACTCAAAGTTCTGGTGTGGCTGCAGGTTTTGTGAAGCAGCACACCAGACTCCATTAGTGGAGTCTCATGTGCTCCAGCCTGGGTTGGAACCGAGCCCTAGCAATCCAAGATGGCGTCCTAGCATGGGAGCAGAGAGGTATTTAGGTTTCGTCTGGTCCTCCCAGTTCTGCGCAGTGGACGAGCTCCCATGATGCGTTGCGCCAAATACGTGTGTATACCACCTGCAGGAGGATCAGTGAGGGGCTGGTGCTCTGTGTCCTGGGTGCAGCTCTGACTGCAACCCCCCGACCCAGAAATGGATTGAGGGGAAGAAAATGGATGGATGGATGGATGGATGTTTCTGTATAGCTTACATGAATTTAGTCTGCAGTGCCCATGGGTGGGACAGCTCCAAGCTAGTAATACACTATCCAGATATTATAGATCCATGGTTGGAACTAAAAACTTCTAAAAAGTTGGTGTTAATACCCTTATTTATGTATTTAACCTGACCGCGCTAGTGATCAAACATGAATTAAATGTTTGCTTGTCCTCCCCTGTGAATAGGGTTAGCATTTTGAAACAATAGTATGTATCTGCAGCAACGCTGCCGTCGCTTGAAAAATAAGTGGTATGAAATTAAAAATGATATAGCTGCAACTATTTAGTGATAGTTATACATAACGAATGTTTATAATGCGTCTAGATTATACACAATCAGATTTTATGTTGCATCGTCTAATAGTGTGGATCTCTGCTTGATGTAAGAAGCGTTCCATCTTATCAAAATGGTAGCCTACAGTATTAATTCATTGTGAATGTGTGTTCATTAATGTACTAAACAGCTGAGCATATGGTTGTATGAATAAGCTTGGACATTATAGCTTGGAATGATCAAATGATAGTTTGATCTATTACGACACTTCGAGCACCCTCCTACTGTTTGTTTGCCTTTCCAGACCAGCTCCTTTCCCATTCGCAGCTTCAAGAGCATGGCAAAATTAGCAAATGTGTCAACCCCCTCGCACTCTGCCTCTCTCACTTTTCTCTTGGTTTCCCTTCGTCTATCGTGTGCTTGTTTCCATGGCAATACAACACGCAAGCAGAGGAGGTCAGATGAGACAGAAAGGGTAGTGGAGGTGGCTATGCTAGACGGCAGCCTGCCTAATAAACCCTGTTTCTCCTGTTAAAACTGGCAAAATACTTTCCCACACAAATGTAATAATTATAATGAAGATGATCAGTTTTATATAGCGGTTTTTTTGGACACTCAAAGAGCGTCATTATTCATTCACTCCATACTCGGTGATGATGAACTACTACTGTTGCCACGGCTGCCCTGGGGCACACTTACAGGCAATTATACCATCAAGCCCTCAAACCACCACCAACCATTCACATGCGCACACACCAGACTCTTTCAAGGCAATGTAAAGTGTCTTGCCTAAAGACAAAACTTTTTTTCATCCGCAGCCACCCTAATGTGGCACCTGGTGTTCCCAAAGGTCTCATCACAGCACAATATACAAAGTAGAGTTAACCACCAGATTTGTATTTTGAGGTTCCTTAACCGGCTTTATGGCATGCCCCAACTACTTGCCCTGTCAAAGCATACATTTTTACATGTCAACATCTTGCACTCCGATGTGGAAACATAAGAGTTGATCGGTCGTTGACATGACAATTCAAGAAGATTAGGTCTTCCTAATTCAGGTTTTTGACTTTGCTGTTTAATTCTTTCTTGTGATAATGATAAGAAAAAGGTATTTTAACATGGTATTACTTTGTATTCAATTTCCTGTCTGGCTTTATTCCACAGAAACAAATCATTGTGGACCCCCTGGCATTCAGTGAGGAGCGCTTCCGTCCCTCTCTAGAAGAGCGACTTGAAAGCATCATCAGCGGAGCAGCTCTCATGGCCGACTCCTCCTGCACTCGGGACGACCGCAGGGAGCGCATTGTGGCTGAGTGCAATTCTGTGCGCCAGGCTTTACAGGATCTGCTCACAGAGTACATGGGAAATGTAGGTATACTACTGTCCATCTGTCCCCTTCTTCCACATGTCTTCACTGGTATGCACACAAACTGCTTAGTACGTCCACACCATGCATCTGTCCGGCATGTGTCGGGAGCAGTCAATCAGATGTCAGCGACTTTAAAATACCTTTCTGCTCGCACTTGAAGCAGAAAAAACTTTAAATCATTGTTTAGCCCTGTGATCTCAATGGTGATCTCAAATCAAATTTACAGTTACACACTACGTCATTAATTCCACATCAAGTTTCTCTCCAGTCTTTAAATTATCAATGCGGTTCTAGTGAAAATTAGTTTCATACACTAAAATGTTAATTTTCATATATATTATTAAAATATGCATCTAGTTTGATTTTTGACCGTAAATCAGACTTTCACTTTTCGTTAGAAGGTGGGTGAAGCCATTTGACCTCAACAGAAATGGCCCAAAATGTTCCCAAATAGAAGATTCCATCCCCCAGTTCTCAATAGTGTGTGTTTTCCCTTCAACCTCTATGATGATTTTGTGGTAATTGTGGATGAGGTTCTTTATCCTCCCTGGGGGCTTTTTGCCAAGAAGATTAGGAAGCTTTACCATCAGTTTCTGTAAATCCATGGCCTTGCATAAACTGCAAGTTAGAGATCGCCTAGAGAAGTTGAACCACTTAACACCACACTATTTTGGAGTTCATGAATGATGACACAAACACAATTTCAGCCTAGGAGTATAAAAAGTACAACTGTAAATGTATGAAAGATCATACTTAAAATAGTTCACATCAAAGTTCTCTATTAAATGAATAATTTGAACTATTATAATATGATATTGTAATTTACCGCACACCTCCAAGTTTACAAACGTCTAACACTCTAGAGGGTTGAACAAAAACATACCACTTGTCACTTATTTTTGATTGTACCTTTTTAGAATCATGAAAGCCTCTACCATCCTTATTCTCAGTCTTGGGATTACAGCCTCTTAATCTCAATTTGCCACACCCTTTTTTCCACGCACAATTACAGTGCAACAACGCTGGTTGATGGCTCAAAGCTTGTGAAGGTTCAGTGTATGTTAGTCATTCACAATGCTACAAATAGATACATAGAAATGAAACTATGGGTACTAGAGCACTATGTCTGAGAAGCCTATCTGGGAAATACAATTGCCTGTGACTTTTAAGCTCTGTGGCTGATTGAATGTGTTTTTTATTGTAGTAGGAGTTGGCCCTTTTTTCAACTGTGTAGATTGATGTGTTCCACTTGAGAGCTATTGCCCACTGGGATTTCTACAATTGGATGACAACTTCGCCCCTTATCAACTTTTATTAAATTGCATGGGCTTTTGGTAATAGCATTTTATCTGTTGTGATCTACTCATTGTCTTTCCTTATGAAGCAAAGGTTTTCACCTGGCATTCTTGAGTTCAGTTTGAGAAATGTTCCTTAAAAATCTAGTTGACAAATTCTAGACTTGAAGAATATTCACTTCCCTGTGGCATATTTTGCATTCGACTCTCAGGTTCAACCTCAGTCTGTGGTGCTCACGGCAGTCTGTATAGCTGCATGTTTTCATTGTTGATTTCTTTTACCAAGTTTTTACTGGCTTTCCCCAAAAACTGCTACTCACTCCTGTATGCGGGCAGTGTTTAAGAGCGAGACACTGCTCTAATTAATTGTATTAATGTCTTATTTATGACCACCTATGATCCAGAGCTGCATCACTTCTCTGCTTTTCTCACTTACTGCAGAGTTAGAGAGACACTTCCTTCCCATTTGGCCTGTACAGCCATTTGACTGTCAGTAGTGCAAGCATATTATTTAGAGGACAATCTGAAAATACCTTGCCAATATCATATTGACAAACGACTGTTTTGCGGCTGTCATCTTGACTGTTCGCCTGCTTTGCAGCTGTATTAGGCTGTGGGTGGGACTACATTTAAGACAAAAGCTTAGATATTAAATAAAAAAAGAATACCTAACTTGACCATTGTTTTTTTTATATCGATAAGTTAACTTTTGTCATAATGAATATGCAGGGGTTTTTTTCTCAGAAAAACCCAAAATAGTTTCCTTTTTCAGGGAATTTACACTGTAGGCGCAAACAGCGCGTATGCGTTGACGGCGCGCATATGCGCATAGCATTTTTTGGGTGTATGTACACTGGCCGTGCGCGCAGGTCCGCGGCTTCTGATGCTCTCCCTGTGTAGTCTATGGAGCGGTGTAGAGGGCCAGAGGACTGATGTAGAGCAACACAAATCACATGCATGTTTGTGTCTTCATGGTCTCTGTGCGCTGGTTTGGCCAGACGCGAGACTTTATGAAAGAAAAAAAAAACGATGTCCAGAATCACTGTAAAAGCTGCCAGTCCTTCTGCTAATGTTTAGACACAAGTGCTGTGTGTGTGTAGATGCAATCTAAAGCCAAGGGCCGCTAGAAAAATCATTTTTCAATGGGAGATGCGTTGCTGCGCGCACAAAATTAGAAATCCATCCTTAAGCCTAGTGTATACTCGCGCGGCGCGGAGCTTACGGAGGTGACGTGACATCACTTGCGCAACGCGTTGGTCACCGCAAGGCCCTTACGTTGCCTGCCGCGCAGCATCGAAATTTTCCAACTACGTAAGGGTCGCCGCAAGGAAGCTCCACTGTGATTGGTCCGGGTGTGTGTTTTGGAAGCAAGCACGGAGCGGCTGCAGGGAACATGGACGAGGCACTATGGAGCAGATAGCTTCAAGCTTCGAAGAAACCAAAGGAAGTAGTTTGGGCTCATGGCAAAGCCTGATATACCTCAGATATTTACCACTTTTTGTAGGCTGTTTGTGATTAATACAATTTAATAATAACTATGTTTCCAACAAGAACTGTGTCTTTATTCACAAAATCGCAGTTAAATGGGTTAAGAAATAATGAGTCCATAGAACTATCACATAAACCTACAGTAGAAACACATGTAATGAGCTCAAACAGCTTTGTTTTTGTTAATGTTTTTGTTCTGAAGAGGAGAAAATAGCAGCGTGAATGAGACCGCTTTGGTATCTCAAGCAACTCCTGTGAGATCGCCATCGTGTGGTTGGTTGTGCGATTACAACATTCTCAAAACTCCGTAAGGAGTATGAATTAAATTGTGCTTGCGGAGGTCCACCGCAACCGCTAACGTAAGCAGCGCCGCGCAAGTATACACTAGGCTTAAATTAGGCGGAGACTTGCATCATACGTCCGTCATACGCTAGTTAGTGTAAATATCCCCATTGATTAACATGGAAAAATGTTACGCGCGTATAACGCATACGTGCTGTAACGCCTCCTGTGTAAATTAGCAGTTGGACTTAAAAGCTCAACACAGGCACAGGTTGCACAGGCTTGCTCAACCTTGGGGGGTTTTTCCATATTTTCTCTGCTACCCGCCTTGCTCACTTGTGTGGACAGGGCTAGGGCTCAAATAAAGTTCAAGCAGCACGGAGGATCATGGTCTTTGTAGTTTACCATGTTTTTTTCCGCAATAGCCTGTTTATTCTTGTTTTTACCTGAAGTTAAAATCCTGTAACCCTCAAGCTTCCATAATATTGTCAATTAGGGCTGGGCGAAAAAACGCTCGCTAGAAAAAACAGGATAAAACGGGAAGTAAAGCAGTGTCAGAAGCCTGCGGCATTCTGCTAGGTAGAGGCTTCTTGACCTATCACGGCAGAGCATGAACCGCAACAACCTGACCATGCGTTGATCTATAGATTGTGTCGGGTTTCAATGCATTGTCCATGATTATGCATGTCCGTAAGAGGAATAGCTTGTGCGACGCGGCAGAGGCAGTGGGCGCCTCTATATACATTCGGCCAAAGCAAGAGATTCACTTTTTCCTCTGGAAGCATATGCAGCAATCGAGGTCACGGGGACACAAGCGCGTAGTCAGTGTAAGAATACTAACGCTCAAACGGCCAAAGCAGGATTAAACCAGGACTGACAATGGGGGACACTGCTTGTGAACATATGCCTCCAGTCTGAGTTCTCATTCCCCTGTGACTGTAAAAACAAGTGCTGCTAACGTGTTAGCCGACACAACAAATGCATTTATTTAGGTAAAAAAACATTTATTATTATCAATATCGACCGTTATGAATCACTGATTGTGATATATTTTTCAGCCATATCGCCCAGCCCTAGTTGGGAGCCAAAGTGAGAACCAGCTATATTTCGTCCATGAGCTATTATTATTATTATTATTTGTTTATTTGACAGGGACATTGCACAATAAATGTATTGTTCAGACCGGATATAGCTACAAGCTAATTTTCATCCGTAGTCCCTGAGGCAGAGACAACGTGACGTGAGCTCTTCCCCATTAGTCTATGATATAATCAAAATATGTATGAGTATGTAGTGAATGTATGTACAGTAGAGACCAAAAGTTTGGACACACTTTCTCATGCAATGAGTTTCTTTTCATGTAAGGGCTATTTGTCCAATGAGGTGTGTGTGTGTGTGTATACACACTTTCATATAGTACATATCAGTTTCATGTTAATATTTATGCATGTTAAACCCTTTACAGAGGTTTATAGAAGACCATCTTTCATGCTGAACTTAAAGAAGCAATATGGAAAAAAAAAATCAGGCCAGAAGTGGTTCTGCAATCACGGTCAATATTCTGTAGTCCTCTTCCACTCTCCCTGACTCAGGTTGCCAGATATGCAGACGAATCCAGCTGGGACCACATTGGCTGAATCGAAAGAGTTTTGTCGAAAACAAATCTCTTAACCAACACCTTATTCACAAAGGCATACTGATAGAAATCCTCGTTTTATTCCTTGTTTTGTCATTATTTGAGAATCATAACAAGACCTTTTTTAGTACTGCAGCCTGACATGTCACTTAAACGGTGAGATTAGCGCAACAAGGTGAGTTCTGGCAACCCGGATCACAAACTTTCTTATTAGTAAAACAGTGGAGGGCGGGATTTGGGGGCTGTAAATCCAATTTTGAATTTCGAATGCCTGGCTGAGCTACCAACATACATCAGT